AATTTGGTACTTACTAGCCACCTATTTGGGGAATAATAGTGCCTTTTTTGTCTATAATGGTGTTTACTTTACTTACTATATGTGTAATTTCAAATAAATAAGTATAAATAAGCATTTAAATAAATAAAAGTTTGTGTCTTAATAAATAAAATCATTATAACAAGTGTGTTGGACAGATCCTCTGAAGTAAAGACAAAACAAAACCAAGTAGAAACAGGAGGAACACATGGCAAAAAACCACAGGGACACGAGAGGACATTGCAGACTTGTAAGAAGAGATAACGAGCAAAAGCTGACAGTGGTGGAGTCAGATAATATCAGTAGGTTACATTTTTCCAGGGAGTCCACTGACTCCAGTTGGAGAGCACCAGTGAGTCTCTGGAGCGAACCCTGAGCTTGCTGATTTTCTTCGGTATCAGAGTAGATGATGACTGTCCGGTCTAAAATCAGACAAGAGATAAGAGATCAAAATGCAGTGGCTATAATGACAGACATTTAGATCTCATAAGATTTTGTTTTAGTGTAAGATTGTGCATACTTGGCCATCATCTCTAAGCACATATTCAATTTGGTGCTCCAGACTGAAGAAGCTGTAAGGTGCTGACCAGGTGGATGGTGGATCAATGGTCACATTCACGTCCTCGTTCACTAACTCACACTTGACAATCTGGGGACTATCAGGTTGAACTAAGAAGAAGAAGAAATAGTAAATAATATCGTCCATGTGTGTATATAAAACAATAATTTAAACACAAACATATGTGTATATATATTTAACATGAATCCATTTGCCTTTAGATTCAATTAATGCATTAACGTTACTGTTTCACTTAAAACTTTATCATGCATGGACTGCATACATGGACTTTCTTTTTCATCAGAAAATATTTTCAAAAAGGAAAAGGTGCTTTGTAGTTGATAGTCTTCTACTGAATGCCATTGATGTAGCTCAGTTTTACTCAGCTTACCAATGTCTCTGAGATAAAATCTCTTCGATGTCCTGAAAACGGAGAGATCACGTATAGCCTCAGCAGTGAGTTCAAGCATGGTGCTTTCCTCTGCGTAGGGTGAGAGGTCGTGAGACATCTCAAACTGCAGTTTCCCCTCTGCGAGCCGCCGACTGCTACTAATCCACTGGCAGGACTTTGAACTTTTACTGCTAATAAAACAAGCAGTAAAAAAAAACAACCAGAAAACAAAATATAACAACAAAATCAAAAATACACACATCTCAGGTGGTTCGTCTAGTTTGGGCATCTTAACTGTAATTTGTCTAGATTATTATTTCTTTCTTTCTTTTAAAGTTTTAAAATTTACCAGTTATGACCCAGTCCAAGACGCACTGCTGTGTATCCATTGCCTGTCCAAGTGCAGTTGAAGTTACAGTCATAAGACTTTGCCCGACAGTTAATGAGAGAATCTGTAATGATAAACAATATCTTTAAATTCTAAAGTAATTTAAATGTTTGGGTGAAAAATGACAGCAAACATCACTACATTTTGTAAAATGATACTTCACAGAATGGTTAACTTAAAGCTAATCTCATCTACTAGAGAGAGAGAGAGAGAGAGAGAGAGAGAGAGAGTGTTTTACCCAAACTGTCAGGCAGTATAAAAGTGTCTTTGTTAGTGCTATATGTTGACTGTATATTAGCAATATAGGTTCCCCTAGTTGAAAAAGTCCCATCATTTAGAGCATGTGAATGGTAGGATGAATGAAAAATGAAAGAGAAACTCACCAATTGTGTCTTCTTCATCAGCCTTCAGCAGCAGATAGGTTGAGGATAGCATCTCTTCACCTCTCCAGCAGCTGTAGTCACCCAAATTTGGTGTTTCTATATCTAACACGGTCAGTTTTGGACCATTTAGCTCTACATTTTCATCATCTTCCAGTGGATCGCCATTCAGCTTCCATGTGACGATGTCGTCAGGTTTTGAATTGCAGGTCAGTGTGTAATTCTCATCCCTTTTTGCCACCGCAACTACACAAAGATAGAGAAGACAGACAGATAGATAGACAGAGAAGAAGTTAGTAGATGAAGATTTTAAACCACAAATGAATATTAGGAAAATGTTTGGATCATAAAAAAAGACATACAGTTTTCTGGAAAGTGGTTGAGTTCGTGAGCTCCCGTGAGGCTGATCATTAGAAGCCCAAATGTCCACAGTGGAAAGGTCATCTGAGGAATTGTGTGACAACAAAAAGCATTTATTGAAAAACAATTCATCACTTGCATTAAAATAAGTATCGTGTGATTTTTAGTGAAACAATATGTAAAGTGACTCATGGAACATTCAATTGGCTCAAAGTTAATTTAGTTGAGAAAATGCATTGAAAATAGGTAATTTGCTTCTTATTCTGTAATATAGATATGAAATTAAACAAACTAGAATTTAATTTATATATATGTATAGATAGATAGATTTATATCTGGAAAAGAACTCACCCTGAAGTGATGTCAAAAGCAAAAGTGCAGATGTTCTGTCACCGCGGTCTTGATGATTGTATGGTCTAACTGCCCACAGAGCAACAACTTTATATTGCAATGCATGATACACATCATCGACACCTCCACCTCCAATGTGACACTTTGGGAGAGAGAAACTGACCGATCTAGTAAGTGATAAGAGTATGCACATTTCCTCTATACTGCTTTGCATGTCAAATTTTTTTACACAACGAAGCTGTGACTTTCGAACAGGGGACTAAAAGATAAGAAATGTGGGTGTTCAGTAGGGTGGGGGGTTGCCCTCAGCCTTTAAGGTGAAATACAACAGTATAATACAATGTTTGATAAGTGCTTATCTGAGAATGGATTTAAAAAATAATTTTTAAAAAACTATTACAATCACAAAAACAGGACACACAACACATTTTATGTTCAATATTAATGCGACCAAACATTTTCTTGGTTGGCTCTTTATGTGCTAACACGCACACAGACACACTGGTTCCCGCTTCTCAACTTTCAGTTTTTATGTTGGTTTTTCTTTATATAACCAGGGCTGTAAATGTGGGGCAATAGCACTCCTTGGTATCAGTCTATGCAACCTGTGAATAGAACAAAGAAGCACTGATCTTTCAGTCATCAAAAGGTAATGTAATACTATAACATAAACAACATTTTTTAATTCAAAGTCTTTTGAGAAGCTCAACCCTGTTGACATTAATAAATACAGCTGGTAGCAAAAAATATATCAGTCACTTGTGATTCAAAAAAAATAAATAAAGCAGAATAAATGTGACATTTATGACTAGTAACCACCCTTATCCGATCAGACAAACCTGGGCTAAAGGGTGCATTTTTTTCTGTATTGCTCTAAATAACATGCTGACTTTGCTACTGATGTTAAGAAATCCATGATCCACAGTAAATGACTGTTTTTATAGTGTTTCTCACAAAACAAGCCGCTACGAAATGTCACAGAGAGGTTACGAGAACAAGCTATTTCCACTATTTCCTCGCTCTTTGCAGTCAGAATGATTGCTCAGCTCATTGTAAAACATATTGTGAGATTAATCCAACAAAATTGCAAAACATAAGCAGAACATTTCTTTTTATTAGCTGCTTATATGTACACTGTCTTTATTGTAATTCCAGACTGAAATACCAAAAAATGATCGAACATTTCTTTGATCAGATAAGCAAGACAGACCAAAACTGTTCTTTAAGAGGTTTCCTCCCATGATATTAACATTGTCATGCTCCCAAAACCTCAAAAACATGCACAGACATTACACCGGAAAGGAAAGGCGGACACAAAACAGGACTTTCCCTCTCATTAGTCATGTAGGCCAAATGTCAGCTATGACCTAACTAGACCTCATGTTTTTTATTCTCGCACATACTATGCAGACATCAAATGTTCCCGTCATATCTTTAACTATGTGAAAGGTACTTCCACAAAACTGTAGAGGGCTGCATTATTATTGGGTCTCAAAAATCTTTTCTGCCTTTCTACATGCTGGTTAAGGTTAACAGAACCTATGTCCAATAAATTCAGAGAAAATTGTTAGGCACTTTGAAAAGAAATCGTTTCAGGTTTCAGTTCCTCAAAAACCTAAAAAGTAGTATTATTCATTAATCATCTTTTGAGAACAGTTTCATGCATGACTTCAAAGAGCTGAATAGTCACAGTTGCTCAAATTATTTCATACTTTGTGTTTTTACAGTTTATCATACAATACTTAAACCTAGTTTCTACGACTGAACTTAAAGCTTATTTTGATCAGTTATTCATTTAATGTGTATATAAATGATTTTCATTTCAACTTCAGCTTAAAAAATTCACAACTAAAATGTTTACTTACTAGTAATTGGACTTTAAAGGTCAATCAGAGCTCATAAAATAAGGTAAAGTTTTAAAGTCCCAGTTAATTCAGTGTTACTTCCGCGTGAACCCCAAAACCGAAAACATTTGTATCCACTTTACATAATATTCAAAACTGTGCCAAGCTCTGAGATCACGTCAGTTCAGATAAGATTCTGACAAACAGAAAATAAACACTATGTCAAGTGTGTTGTCAACATATTAATAGTGATTAAAAAAATTAAAGAGCAGAAGTACACAACACTGAAGAGGAAAGAGATGTTTTTTGCTGTAAATGAGTGGAATTCTCTAACTTTATAGACCACATGTTCTATTTACATTAGTGATGGATGCCTTTTATTCTGAATAGAAAAAAAACAAAAACACTTAAACACACTGGGGAATCCAGAAGAGGGGCTTAATATGGTACTTTCCATATTAAGAGGAACAACACTGCCTGTTTATAGAAGCATATACATGTATTTTTCTACCCTGAATGTGTTTGTTTTTAACCTTTAGGATTATGAAGCAACTAGAAAGAGATAAATATCATTTCTGCCTACACACGCCTCCTAATAGGTTACACACTTAACATTAGACTTGGTGTTTGGCTGCAACCGTTTCAAATGTACTTTGGTGATAGCAAAATATTTTTCTTTTGAAATTTGAAAAAGAACAGCCAAAGCATATGATAAATGAGAAAAGTAATTTTTATTTCATGATTCATTCCACCATTACATTTTTCAATGTGTGGACATCACAATGCAGAAGAGGCAGCGTGAGAAATAAAAAGGTTTGCACATTCCACTTAAATAATTTCACTCGTACTGCAGAACAAGTGACACGAAGGGCTTCGTAAAAGCTTCCATAAAAAGCTGATTTTACTTGTTTTATACCAACTGTAACACTTTGTGAACACAAAGCAAAAACAGATGAACAAAGCTGATGAACCTTCTGTGCCAAAGCAAGGCGAGCCAGAAGGTTTTCCAAAATGTTTGCTGGTGGTTGTTAGTTTGCTTCATTCTTTGAAGCCTCATCAAAGTTTTCAACGAGATCTGAAAATGGAAAAGGGAGAATAGAGAGGGGTGTATAGCAGATCAAGACAAAAAAAACAAAACCGTTGCCCAAGTAAGAATAAGCCCTTAGACTTAGAATTGGTGGCAGAAGCCTGCCTTACACTTATATCCACATATGTTACTAAACATTTTAAACCAAATAAGGGGACATATATCCCATGTGATCAAGTCCAGTTTAGACAGACTTGAATGTGATGGTTATATTTTCTTACCTGGAACTTCATCATCCTCCTCTTCAGCAGCAACCATGGGAGCTTTGTTGTCTCCTGGTGTTTAAGAATGCGGGGAAGGAGGAAGACAGAAAGATGTTGAGAGAAAGAATTCAAATCTACTGCAAACAAACAGGTCAAGAAAAGAGCACTGTGGGCACCTGGTTTAGGCAGATTCTCTGCTAATCTCCGGAGGCTGGTGAGACTGTCAGCTCCCAGCTGGTTTAGGATTCCCGGGAGCATCTCTGTGATCTGTTTGTTCTCAGCGTGTCCTGTGATTGTAAAAGTGTTGGCAGCCAAGGAGGCCTGAACCTTTGGGTTATTAAAGTGGATCACTGTCCCATGGTTTGTGAACATATTCACCTGAAGTGGTGGTGGGGTGGGGAGTGGGGGAAGAAAACAGTTTAAGGTAAGTGTAAAAGAAGACAATGCACAGTCCAAACACCCTTTTCCAACCATCTCTCGGGTCCTCTTCAGCTGACAACAACTGGTTTTCAGTCAGATGGCTTACACCACAGATTCTCTTTTATTTCCTTAAAAAAAAAAGCTTATCTAAAATGTTGTTTTGTTCCTCAGAACCAATGAAGTTTAACATTTAAAAAGTACTTCAGTATCTTAACATTGCTTATTAATAAATTTCAGCACTATAAATCCATTAAATGTGAATGACTGCCCATGCTGTGCTGTACATTACAGAAAGATCCTGCTGTACCTCTTCAATGCCAGAGATATTGTTGACTCCCAGTTTCTTCAGGGAAAACTGCAGCTTCTTATCATCTGCTGTAGCCGTTCTGTGCACCACCTTCTTCTTTCTGCGAGCTGACCCCTAAAGAGCAGAAACGTTAGAGTCGATTTGAACTCACGACTCAAAGATTACACCCAGTTTCTAGCATATGAAACCGACTCACCTTGCCGCCTATGCGGACCTGAGCCTGCAGTTTGGCAAGCTTTTCCTGGTTCATTATCGACTCCTTCATCTAGTGTTAGACACAACAGATATATATAATAAAAGGTAGGTTAGTCTGGCTGTAAACAGTTCTTTTTAGTGTTTCCAGAAATTACTGTAGAATCTTTGTATCTTAGAAAAGTTGCCAAGGAAAGCCACCTGGGATTCAGTGCCAAGTGCCTTACTCACGAATGTCAGTCATTTGGGGGAAAAGAAAAGAAAAATCTCCCTTGACACAATTACTCAGAACTAAATTTGGTTAACTACTCATTTTTCATTTAGAGGCTGAGCAAGATGTGGGACTCGCGAAAATATAAAACATGCAAGTTTGTATGAAGGATCTCTCTGGATACCCTTATGACTAACACGGAAGCAATTTATAAAACTATACGCCATCAATCGATGACATAAAACATGAAAACGGTAATAACGAAGTGCCAACTTCAAACTTCCCCAACTCCCGACCAGCGCTATGTTGTCTCAAGAAATTAACGAGAATGCACAACTGTCCCGGCCAAAAATAGCTGCACACCGCAAGTCTCGGCTGAAGCCCTTCATGAATCAGAGGTGGTCAGCTGAAGTCAGTGCCCTGAAACGTCATACACCCACTTTCCCAATATGTTCTTACGATGCAAACTTCTGCTTTTTAATCAAACTCTGACGGCATGACACTTATTTATTCTAACAATATATACAAATTATGTCAAATGAGCTACCGGCTAGTTAGCAATTCGAGCTAAACAACTAGCCCAGGCCTCTTAAACTGATGTTAGCATTCAGGTACAGCCGATGCCTTCATTGCGTTAAAACCCGTAATACAACTGTGGAGGGGATGTTCAAACGTCAGGAGTCAAACTATATGAGTCTAAGACATCTAAAAGGGGTAGACGGTAGTGAACTAACCTGAGAGTGTGTAAACACGCGGGTCACACCGTTGATAAGGGACAGGAAAAAGGAGCGAAATCCGGAAGTGACGCCGTTAGATGCCGGATGGCAAAAAAGCTTACAAATATGTCCAGTGATTTAAAAACAGCGTTAATCCCAGTGTTATCGAATAAAAAAATAGTTAAAAACTTAGAAAACAGCTACTTTCAATGTAGTTAAAAATATGGGATACTACTGAAGATGATCAGATTTCATTAGCAGAAAAATACATATATTTACTTAATATCCAAATATTATCATTTTATTAGCTTTATTACCAATCACATATATTAATAAAAAATACATATAAATATAAAGGCTTTCACTTTAAGTATTCATTTAGTGAACATTTTACGGTATTCCACAACGGAAGTAGTCACGCATGTAGTCATGGCGTCCTCCTGTTCACGAGAGACAACGTGATTACTCGATAACATGAGAAACTTTTTGTTTACTTAGACAGCCAATATCAGTATCATCCAATTTCAGCATATCATAAGAAAAAAGTACGTTTGTACTTCTGGACTTTTTCACTTGAAAGGTGAGAACCGTCAGAGCTCAGTATAAAGAAAATGCTAGCTGGCTAAAGTTCAGTGTGCTAGCTAAGTTGTGCCTTACTGAACACGTTGGGCCACTGTCCGACTAATTAACTGTGTTTGATTTGAATCTAATAACTTTGTAAAACTTTCAGCTATTCGGGAAAAACTGCGTGTCTTCCATTGTTATGTACAACAAAGCGTTACAGTGAAGTAAAGTCGTTAGCTCGCCAGTTTCAATCTCGGGAAGGTCTAATATTCGAAGTAAAAGGTGGAGAGCACTGCAATACAGTCCGCGTTGAACAGAAAAAAGGTTTAATTTAAAACTGTTTAAATGTTGTTGAAAAATCACAGTGACACTGTCACATTCTAAATTCTGCTGTACTCCCAAACTGAAGCAAAAATCATATTAATGTTATCTAATCTGTTACAATCGAAATAAAATTTTCCGTTTTAGACAGAAATGTACGTTTGGATATTGTTGGTCACAAAAGGAGTTCTTGTTTTTCTACCTGCAGTTTTTAAGAGTAAATATGTATCCCTGTTTTTATCCCTTATTTATCTTCACAGACGTAAAGTGATCAGCACAGAAATGGCTTCATTTAAACCCACAAAAATTCAAGTTTATCCAAAACTTGGAGAGAAAGTCACTCAAGACACACTCTACTGGAAAAACTACAAGGTCAGACTTTTCTCTCCTATGCGGTTTATTATCAACTAAAGGATTATTATCAACTAAAAATGTCCTTTATGGTATAATCACTATTTTGGTTTGTTTATTGTCCCCTAAAACTTGTTATTTTAAGACCATTCTATCTCAGTAATGCGCCATTGTCAATGTAATAGCTTAATAACAGAGTTACACTTTTCAGAAGACTAACTCTTCAGCATATTCAGACTTTGGAATTGAACTATGAATAAATAACAAAAAATGTTGAAAGAAAATGACTAATTTTAATTACTTTGGCACTGTGCTGTAGTTGTTTGCTCTTTGCCTCACAGTAATATGTCCAAAAACATGCTTAACTGGTGATTCTAAATTGACCATATTTTTTTAACATTAACATGATTGGTTGTCTGCCTCTCCATGTTAGCCCTGAAACAGATTAGCGATATCAGATAAGACAACGGAAAGAAAATGGATGGATGACATTTACTAATAATTGCTTTAAATCCTTTTCTCGTCTTACTTTGTTTCTCTTCCTACAGGCTCCAGTCCAGATAAAAGAATTTGGCGCAGTCACAAGCATAGACTTCTCCCCGGTGACTCCACATAATTTTGCTGTGACAGCATTCACAAGAGTATGTTAGCTTTGCTTGTATTAATGTAGAATTTTCCACTCAGTTTAATCTGGGTTCACTTTAACAATTCTGGCTTATACTGGCTTCTTAATGAGTAATAAACTTTTAAGTATGCAGGATGTATTTAAGATGTCTTCTAATTCAAACACTCATTTTGTTACAGATCCACATTTATGGGCCATTTTCCCAGGAGCCTGTCAAGTCATTTACCCGTTTTAAGGATACAGCTTACTGTGGGAGGTTCAGGTCAGATGGTCAGCTCCTTGTGGCAGGATGTGAGGACTCTGTCGTGCGACTATTTGATGTTAGTGGCAAGGTGGCCCTCAGGCTGTTTAAAGGGCACACAAAGTAAGTTTTACACAAGCCTCTGTCTGACTGTGACAAAGTGTTCTGTCATGGAATTTAAAGGAAGGGTTACAAAATAAGCTTAATTTCAACTTCCCGATGCACTTTGAGGTTACTACTATTCTTGGCACTCTAACTATCATCTAATTGGCTATGATGGCAGTTAGGAGGAAATGCCTGTGTATCACATTTTCTTTGCTCACTTTCAAATCCACATATAGCCTCTATAGCACTAATGTTGAAGGAACCAAAACAGATCATCACTATTTAAAGTTTGTGGTTTGCAGCATGTTGCTGTGTGGTGTTTTTATCTTTAATAATAAAATGTAAGTGAATTGTTGAGGATTCTTACTTTCAGCAGCCTAATTTCTTTCCTTATGTCACTTTCACCGGTAGTTACAAAAGAAAAAAAATCAAAACATGTTACTAATGACTATTGCTAATGATTTATTATATAAAATTATATAAATTTATTATATATTACTATTATATAATATTATTATTATATTATATTACTATTATATAATATTATTATTATATTATATTACTATTATATAAAATGATATATAAATGATTTATTTATTTTTTATTCAAACATTTTTGAGATTTCAAACTTAATTTCAGTCTTATTGGTTATTACCTGTTCACCTGCAATACTTTTATGGCCCACCAGGTGGATACTCTCCACATTAGAAATCAATGGTCTACCACTAAAACCATAATGCTGATGTCCTGTTAAAGTGTTTGATTGGCCCTGATGAGCTGGCAGTGTCTTATGAGGTTGTTTTTTTAGTAAAGGAGTAGTTGAATGATGATTTCTTGAGTGATCCATCGACTGAATTTGATGATGACATCAAGAATTCTGACAGCCTGTATTTCTGACTTATAAAAGTGCAGTCTCAAACGTGAACTGATATTAATCATGTCATTTGTTTTTTATTTTTTTCCCAGGGCAGTACATTTAACAGACTTCACCTCAGATCGTTACCAGATCCTCACAGGGTCGGATGACTATACTTGTCGACTTTGGGACATTCCAAATGCCACTGAGCTCACCACCTACAGAGAGCACACAGATTATATTCGCTGTGGTGTCACGAGCAAACTCAACAGAGATCTCTTCATAACTGGTGAGATAGAAGCTCATTTTTAATTGTGTGTGGAAATATCGAGAGGAGGACAGGAAGTTAACATTTTGCCCTGTTGGCATCAATCACAATCATTTTATATTTCAATTTCGAGTGCAATTTTTACCAACAGTCATGTAATGAAAGAAAAACATCTCCTGCACCACATAATGGAGGATTCAAGCAATCAACAGTAATCTTATTAATGTAATGTTAAGACAGAAGTACACTAATTCAAATTCAAAGTCAGTAACTGCAGAAAAACTACATAATCTCACTCCAAATGCTACCCCTCTATTGTTGAATCAAGGGACGCTGCAGATGGAAGTATGTTTATAAGGATGAAAAGGTTTGGCCTGATTTTGTGTGACTAACATTTGATGCTCTTTTTCTAGGATCATATGACCACACAGTGAAACTGTTTGATGCCAGAGTGGAAAAGAGTGTGATAACCATGGACCATGGCCAGCCAGTGGAGAGTGTCCTCCTCTATCCCTCTGAGGGACTTCTTGTGTCTGCAGGTAGTCACCAGTATAATTCATATAATTCAAACAATGACTGTCTGCTGAGCTAATTTTAAGCTTCACACCTTTTTTACTTCCTGGAATTAGTTGGCATACTTTTAGTCATCTGTAGTTTAAAATAATCCTTGTTTATCATGCACTGGGCCTAGGTGCTGCCCCTAGTAATAATCTATTGTCTGGAACTAGACATGGCTACAAAGAGCCTACATTTAAGCCAGTACTCTTCTTAGTAGATGGGTGGAGCTGCTGTGCTCACAACCTTTTTATGAAATGACAATTTGAAGGATGTGCTTTGTCTTTTACCGACACAAGAGTAGGAGAAAACTGTCTAAAACTGACCACTTAAACCCGGCTGAAACCTGGGTCTGTTGGCCTATACGGATTACCTGTACATATGCTGACTTCATTATTTGAAACTTTGGCCATGTTTAATATGAGCATCCACCATCCTAACACTACATATATTGTAGAAAATAAGGAAAAGCATCATAGACCACGATTTAATGATTTCATTTTTATGTGCCAGTCCTAAGGCTGAATAAATGGGAAAGTTGTGCCAGGAGTGGTATCTGGTGTAAAATCTATGCCAAATTATCCAGCTGCTATGTCAACTACTTGGAATAACTAACTTGTGTTAAGTACTTATTTAGTACTTGTTAAATACTTATTTAGAACTTAATTTTCTTGGACTACAACATAGGGCAACAACAGCAGTCCATTTCATGCTTCACTGTGGCTGCAGTTCAGACAAACGTTACAATATTTTTATTTTATTACGTGCCCTCATCCACAAACCCTACATTATATTTAATCATGGTTAACCACAGCATTAAAAAACCTTCATTCCCTTTTTTTTTTCAGGAGGGCGCCATGTGAAGGTTTGGGATCTGCTAAAAGGAGGCCAGCCTCTGGTGTCACTGAAGAACCATCACAAAACTGTCACAAGTTTGGCTCTCAGCAGCAACGGACAGAGACTGCTGTCAGCTTCTCTTGACAGGTAAATGTCAAACGCATGCACATCTGTCATAACAAAGAAAGAGGAAATGTTCTAACTGGTGGAATCAAACGTCACAATGCTAAATATTTAGTTAATAGTACATTTGTAAATCACGTGCTTGGTTTGGTTCTGTGTACCTAGGGCGTTCATGAAAGAAAAGTTACTCTCATTTGAACCACCCATTGAATTTGATTTAATGCATATCCTGTGTTTGTCTTTCAGGCACGTGAAGGTGTACAACAC